GTATTTAGTTGCTCTTTGCAAATTGTGAAAGCTAATTGAGGAAGCATTTAAGAGCATCTCTCAATCACGATATCTGTTTGTAGCTGGGGGTGGATTTATGTTTAAATCCCAGATCTTCTCTGTCCTGGGTGGTCAAGCTGTTCCCTGAAAGGGAAGTAGTACAAGTGCCTGCTCCTTTGTCAGCTGGGAGATAAGTGTTTTCAGTGCCAAATTCCAGGAGACAGTTCCTGACCATTTTGCTGTAAGGCCAGCAGTATTAAATCCAAAGTTTCAAGGATGCAGTGCTAGGCGTGTGACTCATTTATTCCCCCATATAATTTAGGAGGACTATCTTTAACCTGCAGGCTTCTAAGAGTCTTTTTATGTGTGTAGTCCTTTAGACAGCTATATATATTGCTTAGATATAAATCTCTACAGATATTTTGGGTATAGATGTTTCAAAGATAACTGCAGCATTTATTATTTCTGTAAGTTCAGTCCTTTGGTGGCTCGAACCTATTTTCAGGACTCTTCCCCTCCAATTAGGAAATGGATGTAATGATTGCGGGTTATGGTTGACTCTTCTTGTCCTCAGCTAAGAGGTTAATGTATTCTTTGCTGGATGTTCTGCTTTCTTCATAGGCCTAAGTTGATATTGCTCCTTCTGCCGAGGTGACAGCTCCTGGGTGATGTGTGACACTGCGCAGCCAAGAGATCTGTATGCAGGATGTGTTTTCTCCAGCTCAATAATTTTCCAGGAAGAGGTTTAGCAGGTAAACCAGAGTCCCAAAGTCTGCTTCCATTATCAGAAAGCTTAGCTTCAACTGCTAATTCTAGAAATACAACGTATGAACCCGGTATTTATGCATATGACTTTGATAGCTGAAAATGTTAGCATATGAATTTGAGAGCCGGAAAAGGATTTTTAGAATGCAAATTAGCTTTTAGCTAAGTCACACTGAAAGTAAACCTGAGAAGATAAAAGAAAATAATACTCATATGTAGCAAACTGCAGAGTTTATTTATTACTCTGTCAGCAAGCAGTTGGATGGCCCAGATGAAAACAGAAGGTTCATTATTTCTTACAAGCTCATTTCTGGAGATAAAATGTTGAAAAACAGCTCTGAGATAAATTTCTTATTTAAAGATTATTAATATGGAGAATTACTTGGGGAAGCAACCTATAACCATTAAGGCAGTTTTTCTCCTTTGATAAACTTCCTTTTAATGCTATGATCTGCCTTCTGTGTAAGAGAACTTTAACCCCTTCCTATCTACAAAGTTGAACCTTAAAAAGTGTGATTTTCTTCTACTCTGAATATGCCAGCTCCAGTTGGTCTTATAAGGAGGTACTTTCCTTTTTAGGTGGAGATTTTCTAAGAAGGGATTTTTCCTTTTTAATTGACTTTGGAATAAGTTAACTGAGTTTTGAGCTTCCTTACACATTTGATTGCTTGAGTATGTTGCTATACTGCTGATACATTTTTGTTTAATATTCAGAAGATCAGGTAACTGAGATGAATACAGTTACTCTTCTCTAGATGCCTTTAGGGATACTTGGAAAAAAACTTGTAAGAATGTGCTATAGTATGAGTCTTGCCGACTTTCATTTGATTTTTCATTCGTTAACTTGAGACAACGAAAGGAGAACAAAGGTTGCTTATGTAAAATGAGACTGAGGGTGCAGAAACGTGGAAAACATGCCTATTCTTGTGAGAGGTGTGGTGTGTAATAGCTTACGATGAGGTGCAGCTGAGGAGCTATTATGACTAAGAAGGATGCTGCCTAATACAGATCTGGTAGAGCTGCTTTTTGTATTTCTTCCCTTCACCTTCCCTCCTTCTCCCACCACTGCACCAGTGTTCTACATTTTCCCCTGCAGGGGGGAGGAATGCTAGCTGGCAACAGAAACATGGTTCTAGCTGAACTCTAATGATAAAACACAGAAATATGTTGCAAAAAAGCACATGGAGAAGGGGGAAAAGGGAAATAACAGCTTTGGGAGCTCTCCTCCTGTTGTGAACTGTGGCAACCAGGCAATTGCACTGCGAGGGGTTGTGTGTCTCTGCCTTAGAGCTAGTTGGTAATTATAAACTGAAGATAATTCAGTGCACTATTTATATAATTTCTTGTTAAACTTGTCATGGATATTCCCTTGTGATTCTATTTAGGTTTGGCATTTTCACCATACTGTATTCACATAGTTTCCTGCTTTTCCTATGCTTGGGGAAATTATGATCAGAAAGCTTTTTCTACATCAAGTAATAGAGGTATTCTTTCAGGACCAGAATGCAGGCATAGATGTTTCTGTGGGTTTGGGAAGTCTTTTTGCATTTGGGGTTGGTTTTGGTTTCTTTGCTTTTCAAGTGCAGCTCTCCATATTTCTTCTAATTAAGCATAGCTATTTCATAATGAAAACTGACAATGCTTCAACTGTATGTGATTAAAAATGTGTGTCTAAAACTGCAGCTTAAAAAGTGGTGTCTGGATGAGCTCAGCAAAATACTTCACAGATTATGCTAATTCATGTTCACTCTAGAGAGTATCTATGGCAAATTGTCTTATTATAAAAGTAATTATTGAACTGATATGCAAACTCTCTCTAGTGTGGTAGCTTAAATTTTACTCAAATTTATTAGATTTTCATATCATTAAATCTACATCAGTACTGACAATTTATAGATATGATAGCCCTGCTGCAAGTTTTTCTACAGCCCTATGCATTTGAGTGATGGTAAGCAGTGAAAAGAGTACATTGGACAGACAGTTTCTACTTCATTTTGTCTCCTTCAGTCCCATCTCATGCCCCTGACTACAGGTGCTTGCTACTGGACTATGCAAAGACATGACTGAATGTGTGGCTGGATTTTTGACTAGAAAAATGAGTAGTTTCATATGTAGTTGGGAAGAAAATCAAAATATTTTGCATTGATTCTTCAGCACTCCATAAATAATATCTGTTGGAAAATGTACTGACTCAAGCATTGATTTTGTTTCTTTCCATACAAGTATTGGAGAATGCATGAACTAAAAAAGTAATACACCCATTTCTTTTTGAATTTTTTTTTTTCTTTTTGAAATTTCTTTTTCTGCTGGTTTGAGTAGGACATTGGGCTGTGTGAGGGACTGCAGTCCCTTCAAACCTCACTTATTTCAGGAGTGTCTCTGATTTCAGTCATTCTCAGTATGTATCAGTAAGGACTGATGGAATTGCATCTGAGACACTTCTGTTGGTAGAGGTAGTTCAGACAACGCAAGACTTTGGATCTGCATGTGTTTGTCAGCTGTTTGAGAAGAGCTTCTATATCTGAAGGATACTGAGCTTTCTGTTCTAAAGGCCAGCAATAGTAAATATATCCTTTCGACTGTTGACACTTCCCAAAAAATTACATTTGAGATCTTTCTCTGTATGCATAACTTTCTCCAGTGCCTACAGTGTGCTGGGCTTTTGCTGTAGTTTGTTTGACTGTGACAAAGGGTGAGTGAATAGCTGGGCAGAGTTTTGTTATGCTTTCATACTCTGCTATTCAATGCCAAATCATTGTAGCTTTGGGTGATGTTGAAAATGGAGTGTGGGGGGGGAAATAAATCACACTGCATTGGAGGGGAAACGGAAAGAAATAAAGAAACTGTGTCACTGTTAAGATATAAAATACTTTTTTCATTTAGAAAAAGGTAAAATAATGTCAAGATTTCAACAGAAAGCAGTAGGCAGATTTTTTTCTTCCCTCTGCTCAGTGGAGCAATTTTTAAAGTTTAGTTGAACTGTTGAATATATTCAGTTGCCTATGATATTCTTGGCAAGTTTAGAACAGGCACAGAAGATTTCATGGATTCCTGATATTTAGCTTTTCTGAGTTGAGACTATGCCTTTAATAAGCAAAAGTCACTGCTATTTTGAATATGGCATTAAAAAAAAAAAAGAAATCAGCCAATTCAGAATAAAAATAGCTGACTGTAGTTTAATAACGTGATTTTTTTTTCTTAATGTGAATACTTTGAAACACTGACTCAAGGGTCCAAGTGTTTGAGTTGATGAATTGCCCATACTTTGCACTGCAGAAAGTAGGAAATCATGGAATCTTGAAGATTTATAAAGAAATACTTTTATCCTAAGTGGAGATGTGTTTTTGAGGGTTACAAGCAGCAAACCAGCTTATAGGAGCAGATACACATCTCCCAGCACTTTTGTGACCCTGGAACAGCTTGCTTCAGGCTTTTGAGATGGAAAAAAGTTTTGAATGCTGACTGAAAGTCTGAATTTGGTCTCTAGCTCTATAGTGACTTTCCCCTGGTTTAGCTCTTTTGGTAGAATAATTTAGAAAAAGAAATGTCTCAGATTTTGTCAGGCAATTGTTTAGAAATTTCAATGCATTTTCTTGTAAGATGCTGTCAAAATGCAAGTTGTTATTTAATCAATATTTACCATTGTGAATAACTACATATACAAGTCTATAAATACCTGTTTCTGGGAAATAGTGTTTCAGCAAATCTGGAATATTTTACTGAAAGCGGGAACAAAAAATACCTAATACTTAAACCCAAAAGCAACAAAAAAAAGCCACCTGATCTAGTTTAGAAAATAGTTTTCTTTAAAGCATATTGTTTCTATCTGACCCCTAACTACATGTTATATTTTCATTTAAAAATCCTCCATGAATGTTTATTTATCTGCCTCTGCACTATTCGTACCTCTAAAAATTTCATTGATATAAAGAGACTTAAATATGTGATGAATGAAGTATTGCAGCTGCCTGAGTAAGAAATTTCAGTGAAGCTAAAGATAGACTTATCTCTTGTATCTATTCTTTGGCAGAGAAACAGGGTGAGTGAAGAGAAGTACAGTATCTGAAAGCACAGCTAAAACACAGACGCACTGACATTATAATACAGAGTCTCATCGGGTGATGTGGTGTTTTGACTGCATGGCTGCAAAGGTCTATAATTTAAATGCCATTAATGGCACAAAAAACAATAGCGTGGAGGCAGGAATACTCTAAAATCTCTGAGTCTGTACTTACAATGCAGATGAAACAGCCCTTTGAACTTGTGGTGCCAAATGTTGTCCAAAGTTACCATTCTTCCATGAGGAAAGCAGTTTTTGTTTCTATGCTGTTTTAGGTCTTCCCCCTCCTAGCACAGAGAGACATTTTCTGTTCAGATTGCTTGGCCTGTGTCACTGCAAAGATCCCAGGCAAAGGGGCTCTGCTTGTATTTTGCCTCACTCATGTCCCGTTCACACATTCAGCACAGAATTTGCCATTGTGAATAGTCATGACTATGTTTTCTTTGTGCTCGTTGGCTTTTGAATATGCTTCTTTATATTTTGACTCGAGTCTCACACAGAAATAATTTCACCAGAAGCCACTGGTGTTCAGCTGTAACAGAGTTACACATAGTCCTGTGACTGCACCCTGCTTATAATATCTCATTTGTTTCCACTTGGCTGTTGTAATGTTTTCTGCCTGTTAGACTTCTTGTCCTTTCCCTTGCTAGCCTTTTTTTTTCTCTTTAAAAACTTTTTTTTACCCCCATTTAAAATTATAACTGACTTCATTTTGATTCCTGAATCTAACTGTGGGTAAGCAGTAAGCACATGTTTCTGTACACTCAGGGATGCCAAATATTTAATACACCTTTACTGTAATGTGTGCTCTAATTGTTTGCCAAGTGGAGTGAGTCTATCCAGAAACAGTTCCTGATCTTTGAAAACCTTGTAAAATGTGTACAATATGTTAATTGTGAAGCTTTTTTTAGAATATTTCAAAGGAGGAGGAGAAATGCTGTGTAAGTGAAACTTGTTTAAAGTGCTCCACCATTTCTAGCAGGAGACTGTTATAATAGTTGCATTATTTCTTTATACTGTTTGAGTGCCTTTGTAAATCTCAGACTTCTTTTTTTTTTTCCTTTAAACTGGCTCACAGTATGTAAGGGTGGTACTATACCATGTAAGTACTATCTGTTTCCAGTTTTGGCTATGGCTGGACTCTTTTCAAACTATTCATGCAGTGTTAACAACAATTAAAGCCAATTTATATTCTGTGAATAAATAACTGAACAGTAAAGGCTGCTAAAGGGATAGGAAGGGAGTTTCAGAAAAGTTATTTCTCTTTATAGTAAAAACCTCACATTTGAAGTGTGGTAAATGTGTGCATTTATGCAGACCTTTTTTTTTTCTCCCTTAAAAACAAATCATACCTAAAATTTAAAGCATGTGGAGTAGAGGTGAATTTACTTTATACTGAAGGTAAATACAACCGAAGAAAAATAAAGCCTCTGCATTAATTTAGAAACTTTGGATCTTAGAAGTAATTTATTCAGAATTCTCTTTATCTGTTGTCTGTCAAGTGTAGCTACCTCTTTGAAACAGGGTCTTTCAAATCTGTGATCATTAAAATAGGTCTCTACTGCTCCTGTGCGTTCCTGTAACAACTCAGGCTCTTCCAAAATATAATACTAATATGGGCAAAAACAAGTCTTATGCATGCTTTGATCTTGGAAGGAATCTTGATCAGAACAACTTTGAAATTCAAAATGGTACATTGGCCAGCTGAAAAAAATTTTCTGTGATAATTTCCTTCTAAGTATTAATGAAGAAATATTTTACTTAAATCACTACACATGGCTACTGCAATCAGTACTTTTCAGTTTTGTCTGAAATTAATAATTTTTCGTGCACTTGTCGCTGCAAATTCTGAGGAATAACATAAAACCAAAGCTCAGCTTCAGAGAATGACCAGCATTCACCCAGACTGCTGTTTTTAGTTAGATCAGAATATGAGTTAGTGAAAAAACTTTCCTTAGTGGCAGGTTTGGTAAAATCAGTCTTAGTTACAAGACTATTTTTCTACTTAGGAAATAATTTCTGAAATGAAAGGGAACAATTCTTTATGCTCAATGAGATTTTAAATATAGAGCAAACCTGCACAATTTCTCCATGTCAGAAAAGCGTTCTGTGCACTTCAACAACTTTTTTCCTAAAAAATGCCTTGTACACCAATAATTTCTTCAACAACCAGAATGGTTGTTGCTTGTCTCTGAAAAGCCCCAAGTATATTTTGTAACAACCGAAAACCTGAGCAAAATTCATTTCCTGATGTAGTGATGCAGTCCCAGCTGCCCTTGTGAGAGCAGAATTCCAGATGTTCCTGTTTTGTTTGTGGAGTGGGGCTATGGACAGCAGGGATACAGTTTGGCTCTCTGATAATGTTGTATCTGTTGAAGCACTTTCATTGTGGCTGTAGTAATGTATATATACCTTGTGAAGGAAACTATATTATGGATTGCATTCATATAATTCAGGTGAGTGTGAGAAGAGCTTGGATCTGAGGATACAATGATGGCATCTCAAATACCATATAAGGGGGGAATTATGCAGTTTCTTAAGCAACATATATGGAAACAGAGACAGTGATTTGAAACTGTTATTCCTATAATAATTTAGGTTGAAAAAACCTCTTAAGATCATTGTATCCAACACTAAATCCAGCACTGCCAAGTCCTAAATCATGTCCCTAGGCACCATGACTACACCTCTTCTAAATACCTCCAGGGATGGTGACCCTACCTCTTTCCTGGGCAGCCTTTTCCAATGTTTTTAGGGAAGAGGGTTTTTTTCCTCCAATATCAAATCTAAATCTCCCCTGATGCAACTTGAAGCCATTTCCTGTTGTCCTATTACTAGGAGAAAAAAAGCGCTTAGATATGTTCCTCTAGAGCTTCCTTTCAGGTACTTGTAGAGAGTGATGGAGGCTCCTCTGAGCCTCCAGGCTTAACAACCCCAGTTCCCTCAGTTGTTCCCGAGTGGACTTGGGCTCCAGACCCTCCACCTTCATCGTGCTGCTTCTTGCTCTACTCATGGTTACAGTGTGTGTATAAACCTATCTGTGTAAGAGTTTCTAGATGTTCAGTTAAGTGTTTCTCCCATGTTTCTTGGAGCTGCTTTTGTAGGACACTAAGAGCTTAATAAAGCTTGGATTCAGTAAAAACAAAGCACGTGAGAACAGTTTTAGTTGTGGTATTATTTCAGAATGTGTTCAGATTCCTTGAACATGTTCTTAACAGGATTGAGGGCTGATCCTGTATTTCTTCCACACTTAATAATTCCATTGAATGCTGTGGCTGTTCTGTTTGTGGATTACCCCATTTTAAATCATCATTACAGATCATTTTAGTGATTTTAAATGCCCAAGTGAGCAGTGGATCAGGGCAGAAAGCTTCTCAAGTACGTACTAGCTGTAACTGCTACTTCTGGCAGAAGAGATCAAATGCGAATTTTTTCTTTTCTGAAACTCTCTGTGGCCATTTCTATTTTCCTAATTGGTTTAGGCTGAAAATGGCTTTTTAACCAGTTGTAGCAAGACAGGTTCTTAATTTCAGGTGGTGAGACTGATGTATTATTGTAAGAGTTTGTAATTGAGATTATAGGAACTGTTAACATTATACAGTTCTGCCTTCAGGATAAGAAAAATGGAGATGATTCCTGGAATCCTACTTTGTTGGTGAAAGATTGGAGGGGCTAACATGGACTTAGGAGTGTGGAGAAAAGGATCTTTCCCTTCTGGGCACATGGAGTTGAATATTCACTTTGCTTTGTGGTCTGGGTTTATTGCTAAACGCTCAAGCAAGCCTGGAGGCATTTCCTAAATGAGGTTGCAACTGTATAGCTTTTAAACTCAATTAGCCCTCTCTTCTGTTTTTTTGCATGCCATGTCAGCTCTAATGGACTTTACTGGGCTGTGTGAGAAAGGGAAGGTGTGGGGGTCTCTATAACCAGGCCCCTTCTTCCCCCATACTAGGGTGGATTGGCCACATCTTGTTGTGGCCCTTTGGCAGCAGCAATTTAAAGGTTCTCCAGAATCTTAAAATATAAAACTGTGCTTTAAGGGGGGGATACTGGGGAAAAACGTCATTCAACAGCAAAGAAATAAGTAAGTTAGCTTCCACTACCTGATATGAGACTCCTTCAGAAAGGAAAGAATCCCAAAATGGGCTGTGCTTTGTGTCAGATGGACAGGATGGGTTGGCCCAGTGTGTTTCTTCCACACAGTGATCTTCTGAGGCTTGTGGGCTGTAAAATGCAAACTTGAGAGAAAGAAATCCTATCACAACTAATAGCAAAAAAAGTGTCTTAAGAAAATTGCTATTCACAGGAATACAGATTTAACGAAGTGGTAGAAATTATATCTTACCCTTCAAATAAAAGAAACAAAAACTAAAGATAAAACACCTAATAACTGCCTTAAGGAAAAACCCCTTTGTTAGTCTTCAAGCACAAGAAAGTACTTGACCTGTTTTGAACAGCAGTGTTTTTATAACTCGCTTTTGTTGGATCACAGTCTTTTCCCTTTTTTCTGTTTGATCTAAAAGTCCAACTGTGTTAATTAAAAAAAATTAATGTAATGCATTAAGCTTGTAACATGATTAAAGGTGTTACTAGAACTTTATAGGAAGAATGTCTTTTCTCATTCTGTTATTTTTTCCCCGCAAGTGCAGTTGTATTCAAAACTCAAAGTACATCTGGTTGAAAACTTAATCTTTTTTTTTTCCCCCTGTGGGGAAAACACAAGATGTTTTGAAGAAATGTATTTTTCAATGGACGTTTTTCTGGAAGGCCTTTTGCATGAGGAGGAATAAAAAAGACTGCTTGCTGCCCCAGAAGGATTGGTAGCCTGGTGATTTTGGTGGGCGTCCAGAATGTCAGAGCTCTGTTGTTGTTGGAGAAGGGCCTGGAAACCCAGGTTTCTGATACTTTGGATGAAGGTCTTAAAGATCAGACTGCTATCTATCTGGAAAGTGATCATGTTGCCTAGTTTTTCCACTCCTCTTTCTTCTATAATAAGCTTCTTTTCCCCAAAAGAAATTTAAAATAACTTAGACATACCTCTCTAATTATAATGAAGAATAAAAAAGAATTCAAAAATGTCTTTGTATCTCTCTGAGAAAGGAATATTATTTTCTGATTAGTCTTAACAGTAATGCATAGATCTATTGTTCATGTTGTCTAGTAAAGAAAAAACTGTAATAATGATATGCCCTTAGTAATGAAGTTGAAGCAACTGTACATGTATTTAAAGGAAGGTGCTGTGGCTGAAGAGTTCTGAAGCAATGGATAGTTCTTGTGTTTGTTCCACTGAGTATTGCAAAGAAGAACCTTTCTGTCAGTGCCCTTGTACATGTACTTATTATTTTACTTTATTTTAACAGTAAAGCCAGGACTTGCTGGTCCTGCTCTCTGTGCTGGTGTAAAGCATTGTCTTTGTCCCTTCCTTAAGTCCAACAAAAAACCTTGCATAGCGGAGTCTACTGCCAATGTTGAAAATGTGAGGGCTGCTTTTAAAAATACAAAACCAAACAGAAATTAACAAGTATGAGGAAAAAATCCTGTTCATAAAGCCAAAGTGACTCTCTATGGAAGAACATAAAATAATCAGTCTGACATGTCTGAATCTCTCTCATTCATCCTAACCCATGAAAAACCTAGACTGCTTTGACTATTACATCATCTCTTTTGAAGTACAAATGCTAATCGAGATCTATCTAAAAGTTCAGTATGTGTGTTAAGGTATTACAGATCACTTTTTTTATTATGCACTTGAACACAGGTATGTCTGAGTTTCTTTAAAGCTTCTATCAGTGGGGGAAGAAAGGTGGTGCTAGGATCATGCTCCCATAGGATGCACCTCATTTTTAGTACTCTGTGTTTCAATGTTTATCACTTAAATGTGGTTTTGAATGTGCTTCTGAATCCTTACTTTGCAAAAAGAAAGACACTGCTGTCCATCTCCAACTGAGTTTCCACCTTGCTTAAAAATTGGTGCTTTTCTCCTTTATTCTTTGGAAAAGATAATTTTTAATTAGCTTCTGCTTTCCAGATAAGCTTCTCTTCACTTTTAATTCAAGGGAACAAGAGGAGGTAGCATTGGATATATTTGATCTCTTTGAAATATTTCAGTCTGTCCTTACAGAGCTGTATCTCTCTCTTGAAAGGCTGCTGTGACATTCAGATGTTTGTTGGACAGACTTGAAAGTATGCTTTGGATGCTGTTTAGAAACATCTAGTGCCCCATAAGTGCAATACAAGATGAAAGGAAGTAATGCTCAGGACCTATTGTGTGTGGATTGCTGCTTTTTTTCCTCAGTGCTTTTAGCTTGCTGACCTGGAGATAAGGTTGTTTCTATGTTTTATTCCTGTTATCAATGTGAAATGCTTCATTTCAGGTACTTTTCCATTTTGCTTTGACCTGCTTTTACAGGTTTTTTGTGCTGCCTGTTTAACACATGTGCAGTAAACAGCTGCACTACTGAGTTCCTGCAGATGTTGTGAGCCAGTAGGACTTTTATAACTGCCTCTAAGATGTTCAGTTGTGGAAGCCTTGATTTAGAAAGAAGAAATCATGTTCAGTCATAGCTGTCTTCAAATGTCCTGACCCCAGACCTAGAAAAAAACCAGTATGGCATTTTCGTGCTCTGTCTGTGTACTGAGCTGTCTGAGATGGTTTACTTTTGTGGCTCCAAACACGTTAGGTAAAGTTTGGGGCCATCCAGCAATTGCATGTTACAAGCTCCTTTTTGCATCTACAGCAATCCTGTTAACGTTATCTCTTTTAAAATTCTTTGATAGTAAATATCATCAGATAAAAGGCTTTTGTACTCTGGATTACTGCTCTGAAAAAGTCCATGAAGTAAACACAGTATTACCAGCTGACTGACTTCTACGCTTAGGCTTGCTGGGGGTTTTAGTGGGCTGTTAACAACTACAGGTATGGCTTTTTTGAGTTCCTGATTTGGGGAAATTTTGTTTATCAGATCACATCTGTTTTCCTCATTCCTTCATGCATAAACTTGTCCTAAAGGAGAGCCATCTCCAACTACATTTTGTTCATTATTATTTCAAACTACCTACTAATCTGAAAACAAATTTTAGAAAGTTGTTGAAATAGTGGCCATGAAACTACTATTTTTTTATCTGTACTTTGATATAATTTCATGTATTTAAAGTTCATAATTGAGTTTCTTTTCAAAATGAATTTCAGAGAGACAAACCTTAAACAGACTTGTATCACGTGTGTTTTCTTGGGAGTGAAGTCGGATGTCAGTGTGTGTGTACTTGTGCCTGGAGGGGGGAGTTAAACTGTAGGGGTAATCTTTCACATAGGTGTGCTAAGCAGCTGTTTGCAGGACTGAACACCTTTCTATATGTTTCAGCTGGGTTTTTTCTCCTTGCTCTTGCAAATCAATTGTTTTCTGTGATGTATCCTAGACCTTTCTCGTTTCTCCCATTCTACCATCAAATCACCATACCATAATTATATATGCAAGGCTATTCTTTCTTATTCTGGCAATTGCTAAATAATGTTGCCAAGCTTGTCAAGTCAGATATGTAATCAACACTGTACACAGCGTTTTTTAGAAACTGAGGTTGAAAAAGAAACAACTAAATCAGCACTGCTGGTCAAGAGTTGCAATAGGGTGTTTTCCAGGGGAAAGAATTATATCAGTCAAGCCAGGGTGCTGGTGCTCAGCACTGTCTTTGTCCTTTCCTTAAGTCCCATCAAAAACCTTGTCTGCAGACTCCTCCAGTTTGGGGGGAAATTCGAATAATAGCTTTAAAGAGTGAGTGCTAAATCTTTATATTTCTCTTTTCCTTGTTAAGGTAGAATGAAAACCATAAACTATTGGTAAATGTCAACTAACCGCTAGACTTGAAAGAACCAGCAGCTGGCTTCTGCTTATGAAGCAGAAACTGTGTGGGAGGAGATGTAAAGAACCTCCTCAAATACCCATTATAACACAGGGGCGGGGGAGAGACTGCACTGAATATGGTTTTTAACCTTTAGAATTCTTTTTCTTGTTCTCTCATGCTCTTAGACTTGTATGAAAACACAAGATGGCAACTGATTTGTTTCAGGTAAAGGCATCAGACAAAGGCCCTGTGCCACCTAAAACCAATTCTAATAAAAATTGAGTACTCAACTTGCCTGTATCAATTTTGTGTCTGTTAAAGATTTATGGTATGAATCTCATAACCAGATTTCAAATGTATTTAATGATTAATTGTTTGCAAAGAGCTTGAGTGTGCCTCAAATCAGATGCAATGTTTCAGTGCAGCAACATTATTAACAACATCATTAGAGTAATACTGAAATGGCAACACTTAAAAATGCATCTACCACAAATCTGAAATGATGGGTTTGTCCTGAATACAAATAAACAGAGAGAAAATAGATCAGGAGGTATTCATTCCTGATGTATAAACTGAGATAAAAAATAGACCACAGGTTTATGTTAATATAAATTGAGACAAATTCTAGGTTGGCAACACAGACCTAAACTCTGCCTAAGCAAAGCAATGAATGTTTATTCTGCCTCTGAAGGGAAGTCCATACTTGCTGTCAAGAAAAGACAAAGGGTTATTCTGGGATGTGTTTGTTGGGTTTGGGTTTTTTTAAGTAACCTATTTTTGCAGTAATTCATAAATCCTTCACCACTTTCTGATACGGAAAAAAAAATGTATACAGCCTCATTAGCTCATGGCACAATGATTTTTAACTGTTTTAAGAATATTTGGAAAAATAGACTAGAAAATTAATAAATAATTTTTTTCCCTGAAAATAGTCAATTATGAGACACTTAATCAATGTGTCTGGCAAATGTGGTGGCAATCTGTCTGTTTTTTAATTGGAAGCCTTCTTACCTAGACACTGGGCAGATGAAACAGCTCTCAAGGAACGATTAAAAAGAAATAGAACTGCAACTCTGTTATTTCACCTGCTCTTCTTTTAAACGTGTCCTTTCTTGTTTGCTGACAACTCCCACTATGGAGCACTTGTCCACAGTCCCAGGAACTGCTATTAACTCCCCAAGACGGGGGTGGGAAACTGGAACTGGTGAGCAAGGGCTGGAAGGGTACCAGCTGGAGGATATTTGTGACAGATCAGAATAACAGGAAGAGAGAGTAAAAAAGAAATGGTCAGCACTTTTGGCTTTTTAAAAGTGGGGTGTAGATGACTTGCTGTTATGTTTTTGCAATGTCTTGTTTCCAGGCTGCTGGCTTAGTCAGCCACATCTTTAATTTGCCCAGTTTATAAAAACTGCTTTTGCTGCTACCACAGAAAGAGAAATTATAATTTCTAGGCTTTCATTTCATCCCTCTTACCTATAATCCTCAAGTTCCAGTCTGTCTGACCACTTGACTAGGCTTTTTAATTAGCAGATCTTCTTGGGGGCCCTTAAATGTGTTTTGAATATACAGGAACACTAAACAGCCTTGGAAACTCTTGATGAGATGAAAAATATCCTGCTGGGAATATGAAATGGCACATAGTGCCTAGAATAATGATTTCCATAATTGAGATTTTCATGTGCTGTATTAAAAGGCAACATTTACCTGGGATCCTCTTCTCTTGAAAAGAAAAATGTTCAGTTTTAGAAACTTGTCTGTTTAACTCTGTTTCTACACGGTTTTGTTGATTCCTCAGAAGAAAGCTTATGGATTTGGCACAAAAGGCACAGAGAGCTGGAGATGAAAACTAGTATTCAAATATTTCTGTGCAATCTGTGATTCAGATATACTTGATTTTGCTCAGATGAGGCAGGTGGAGTTTTGTAATGATCTTTAGTTTGTACCCAAGACCCCTGTACTGCCTGATCTTTCAGCTGAGGCGGCACATTGTTAATGATGTGCTAATAAACAACATAGTTTGGTAAGGTAGACTCTTTGGTAGAAGGTAATAGCTCTCACTGCTGCAAGTATCTTAATGCAATCGAAGAAAACAGCTTGTTTTAATCATTTACTAATTGTGTGGCACGGCAGCTAATCTCTGGGATGTACCTTGGAGACCCGATAACATGTTTCATCAACTTCTGGAGAACCGACACAGATGATGTTGGCCAAATTGCCCACTTCCCTTCATTGCTGGTCTGCAGCTCTGTGGTGATTTGTCTAGAAGACAAAGAAATAAAGGATTTTGTGTAATAGTTTAGGATATGCCCAATAAATCGGCCAATAATTGGTCTTGACAGTCCCCAAGGAGAAAACTCCGGTGTCACTACAAAGGTCGTGGTGGTTTTGTACTATTTGTACTAATGGGCTTTTTTGAATTTTCAGATAAAATATGTTTTGCTTCAAGCTAGCTCTAAATGAAGTTAGGTTATTCAGAATATTAAGTTGTGACACGATACTGTCACTAAGCCTTATAGTTTCAATAATTTACACATCATAAATGCGTATGTCAGTGGTATCTTTTTCCATACTGTTCTGCTTTGCTGTTCATGTGAGAACATTCAGACATATAAACCAATAAAATAATAAAAAATGACAGAAGATGAGCTCTAGGCTTATTTTTCAGTGCTACAGAGAAGTGTTGGCAAGACCCGTTTCTGAAAACTCAAATACTAGACCTGCATGCATTGGTCTTTTTCCGTAGCGTAATTATGAATTTATTTTCTCTTATAGAAAATTAATCCTGCTTAACTACTCGAATACAGGGCTAGGTAATATTCTGATCTTTATTGGTGACATGCACTAATCCTGATGAAACCTGCAACACTCCTGCAGTTTTTCAATAGCTCTGAAAATTATTCCAACCTTAGCCCATGGTATTCAAAGGCACATGTTACTGCATAAATGACTCTCCCCTGTCCCTGAAGTGCAGTGGATTAGGTGGAGGGATTCTCAAAGCCTTCTAAATTCTTGGCATTCAGGACAGAAAATGTTCGAGTAACACATATTTGAGTTGCTTGTCAAAGCACTTTATTAAATTGGACTCCCTTAAAGAAGTTTAGTGTTAAGTAAGTATGGTAAATTAAATCTAAAAATATTTCTTTTTCAAATCTATACTTTGCAATGGTCTCATGGTTACTGTTTGAGGAGTTTGTGGCCTGCAAAATACTGTAATTATACAGCATATTCTCAAAAAGACTGGTCTCTGGTATTAGCGTCCCTGTGGTTTCATGGAAGACATTTTGAGAGTTTTGATTCCATCTTGTTTAGCTGTGCCTTCTCCATCGTGATTAACAGAGGAACATGCAAGTTTGAATTCTTCAAATAGCTTTGAACAAAAATCTCACATTTTTTATTTGTCTATTTTATAGGACATGAAAAAAAAAAAAAATTACCCCTCAGGGAATTAAAGCACAGTGCTTTAATTACACAATGCCCATTAATGCTAATAAATTTTATACTAAAGACCTGTGCTGTACCAGTGCCAATGAAAACATAAGTCTCCTTCCTTTTCAAACCCTGTGCCACGTACTGCCTGGACATGAGATCATTAAAATGAACTCAGTTGTAATGACAAGCATTAAACAAAGATGTAACATTTCATTTGGACTTTCAGCAGTTTCTATAGGTGGAAATAATGCTAGAATTTGATCTTCAAGTAATCTTTGAAAGTATTCAAATAGGAATAATGTTAGGTGAGTGAGGGAACATATGTGAAATGAAGCGATAATACTTTCAACTGCTGCACTCCTTCCATAATCTGATATACCTTGAGTTCTCTCTCAAAACATTCCTTTGTAATGGTAGTCAGAAGAATGAGTTTACCAGCTGTATAAGATAAAGCATATTTGTAAGCACTCTGTATTCATAAATCTTGCTTCTTATTTAATTCTCTGCTCTGTTTTCTCTTACCTAGTCATTAACTGCAGCCTTCCTTTCCTTTTTCGATACAACTCTGCTATTAGCAATTCTAGAATTTGACCTCAGAACTAAGTCTCCTTTTCTCTTGCAGTATTCCTGGAAATCAGGCAATCATATCACTATTGATCCGTGTGTTGAAGTTCAACAGTTCTACTTTTTATGGGGCTGTTAGAGGAATAGTTTGGGATTTAGTTGATGAGAATTTGAAGTGAGAGGAATGTATTAATAAGAGCATTACAGGGGTAGATGTGGACGCATCTCTGCAGTGGAGTGTCATACAGGATCCCTTTGTACTAACAAAATGAATATGTGGTGGTGGTTTGCTCTAGTTGAGAATGGAGACCAAATGAAAAGAGCTGTGCGTGAGGAGGATGGCATTTATGAGGGGCTGACCAATGGTTTTGATGGTAAAATGTATAAAAAGAAAAAAAAAGCATTTGAATACTGTCTGACTGTGAAGATTTAGGAAATGGCTAGACTTAGATGTCAGAGCAGTCTTCAGGAGCAGACAGAAGGGAAGAGCAAGGGCTGTGAGGCACCACATGGGTTTGGAGTGAGAACTGTGCCACATCCTCGTGACCTGAGTCTGGGTGGGCAGGGGAGATGCCACAGTGGGTGGCTGGGCTGAAGGAAGAAGAACGTGAGGGTGAACCCAGCAATGAGCTGAGCTCACTGCCTGTGGTGCTCCCTGCCAGGCAGGGGGACCCCTGGGAGTCCTCTTAGAGAGCTCTCAGCAGTTGTATTTTATCCTCACTCACAAACCTGTCAATTCAGGGCATTAGCCACATTCTTACAATTTTCATTATGTAATGTTTCCATGTTCTGTTTATACTTAATTAGTGTTTTTACTGAGAGACTGGAAGATTTGGGCTGAATTTGGGTGCCTCTGACACCAGATATTGTAAAAGCAGCCTCCCATTAAAGAAGAAAGCTGTATTATGAGAAGAAGGTTTGTAAAAATGCTATATTTTGATGAGCACTAATTATCTGAGCTGGGAGCCCTTTGAAAACCTTTCTGATGACTAAATCTCCATTTTACACCTGTACTTCCCAAATTCCCAATCTCGTGGGAGCCCATGTTATTTTTAACAGTGGTTTCTTTTGCCACTGAGTCCTAATGGGTTGGAATCACACTTGAAATGATAGTTTCTAATCTTATCTGCTGTTGTGAATATCCTTTTTATTTTTAAGTTAGTTAGAATCTTGAATCGTCCCAAATCTTCCCACCATCAATTGGATTTTTTCCCAACTTTCTGACTAGTTTCAAAGAGAAATCATGGTCTTGCTTTTTTTCCTGCTCTGGTTACCTGCATTCACCTTGCTGCTGGTCTTCCTGCTCAGAGGTCAGACCTGTTCCAGCTCGGTGATGGGTGCCAGTCACGACAGCGTAACAAGCCAAAAGTAGTAAACTTGTTATGAAAGGCTTGAAAACTTGGATGTGTCTAGGTGCCAGGATTTTAAACTCGTTGCAACTTTATTAATGACACCCTGGGGGAAGAATCTTTTAATAGTAAACATATTCAAACAGATTTGAGCTAAAAAAGCTGGATTTACTTTGTTTGGGTTGCATGTGTACTACGGCATTATCAGGAGATGATTTAGAGTAACAGCCGTGAACTCTTAGCTTGGATCATGTTAAACTGAAAGTTCTCCATGGCTGAAAATGTTTTTCCAGATTTATGGGAGCTTTCCCTCTCCCACCCCCTGTAGCACTTTGCAGTTTATAAAGGGCTATGTGTTAAACAGCATTTGTTGAGTTTACTGAATAAGCAAATACGATTTCGTTTTTTCTTGTAACATTCATTCCTGCTCTGCTTTTGAAATGACACACGTGCCAGTGTGCTATTCTTCTTCCTAGTAGTTTCTACATGAAATCTATTTTCTCTGAGAAAATGGAATCTTTGTGTCTTTGTCTCCTCTCTAGCTTTCAGGCATGTTTTGGCAGGGGCTCTGACTGTCGAGGCACTGGAGAGGAGGGGCCTTGCACTCATTTGTCAGCTTTTCTTGCATCTGTAATTTTTGCCCACTCAGCAGTACTGGAGGGGCTTAAAAAAGGGGGATAACTTGTAGCTGTTGAAAGTCAAACTCATGAAATTATTACCGGATTTTAATAGTTTGGGAAAGACGTGTGTGTGTGTGAGAAACAACAAATGCTAAAACCAGGTTTAGGTTTAAGGTTCTAGCAAATCTCCATTTCATGTAATTGCATTCCTTTTCCCCCTGTATCTTTACAGGCAACGACTCTGTGTTTTTGTAGATTTGTTCATTGTGTGCTGATAAATTGGCTTCTTCTTTTTTTTTTTTCCCCTAACGATGATGAAAATAATTTCACTGGTGTTCAAGATCTGGTTGTTTCCAACCAGCAGCTTAATCTAAAATGTTTAAGTCTTCTCTAACTTTTGTCCTAATCCTTCCCTGCAATCTCCCTTTGCAAGGCGGGTGCTTTCATGTCCTTATGTAATGTAACCAAACAGAAATTAGTTAATTTTTTTATTAGAAGACAGATCCCTTCATACTAAAGAAAGCATTTTTCCTCTTCAGTTTTTTATGGAATATTAACATTGATCTCTCCTCCTCTTTTCAGTAGGCTATTTAAGCCCAGGGCTCATACTGTGAGCTGTTAATTAATCAGTGTGACAGATGAAGAAAGTATCCAACTATGAAAGGAAACCTTACTTCAGTGACTAACAATAAGGATGTGAGCCCGAGTGATTTAAGGGATTTTTTTTTTTTATATTGTGAATGTATGATAAGAAGTTCTTAAACTGTTTGAGGTAACGATGGGGTTTTTTTACTCAGATTGTGTCTCTGCACAAACATTAAAGGGTTCATCAATATTTTGTCTTGAAAAGTCTAGACAGGAGTTAAAAGAGCCTCTCCTACAGTTTGAAGAGATCCTGTTTCCCATAATTAATAACAGGAAGCAAGTAAATAATGCTTTACTGACAAACGAAACTGCAAGAGTAACGTGTACCCAGAAACATTAGCTCCTAGCTGAGAAATGTAGCTGAGGTCTGTTGGTTTTAGTGTACAGGAAAAGATTGCTGTGGAAGCACATTAGAGCTTTGCTCAAGTTTAATTCAGTTATGTGATAGCAGACTAAAAGTCCAAAAGCAGCGATAATGCATTTTAATTATTGAGAGTGATTCGTGACCTTTGTTTACATCCGTGTTACCATCCAAGAACTGTTCCCCCCCCCAATTATTTGAAATTCTCTGAACTCAAAAGGAGATTTTTATGTTTATTTAAAAGCTACCAGAAGGCATTTCAGACATTTCCTGGAACAAACTGTATATATG